AGTCAGCACCTTCTGCATGCAAGGGACAAACAGCCAGTCCCAACTGTTTTCAGCCAAAACTGGGAAATGCAGTGGCTCAGGTAACTAGCAAGTTGAAGGTGCCTAGTTTCAGGTACGGCGGGATCCAGGAGTTCAGAGCCTGTCCAACTCTGCGCTGCTTCCTCCGAGGCAGGCTTTTCCTTTGTTTTGTCCTTTTTCTGCTCTAAGGGTTGACTTGCTCACTCTCCACTCAATGGAAAATGGCATCTCCTTCACAAATCATGGGCAGCCCTGAAGTCCCAGGATCAAGTTTCATTGGGGAGGCTCAGTCATGTGCCCACCCCTGGACCAATCACTAGAGCAAGACCCAGTCACGTGTCCACCCCTGGAGACAGAGGCCTCTGTGCACAGGCAGCCACAGGGACTGAGAAAACGGAAGAGGGGGTTCTTCAGTAGGAAGTTCAGGTGCTGTTACCTGAAAATGGGAGCTAGATACTGACCTGCCCACACACTCGCCCTTTCTCCCGGCTCGTCTCTGCACATTGTATGACCTCAGGCCAACCCCTTCCCCTCTCTGGGTCTCATGTTCCTCCTCCGGAAAATGGGCAGGAGGCCGTTTCGATTCCAACATTCCAGAATTCTGGGACAGCTTCCAGGACTGGAGGCTGCTCCCTAGATCCCAGGAAGGTCCCAGCACTTCTGGGGACGGAAGTGGAGCATCAGCCAGAGCCCTCCCCAGCCCCCAGCCTGGGAATATGCTTAGAAGATGACAATTGGGCTGCCTTCGGCCGAAATTCCACTCCCGTGGGGGCCTTGCCAAGAAAAACAAGCCCAAGAAGCAGGCATTAAAGGTGAGCATACTTGAGCATTTTAAGATGACAAATTATTTACACAGGTGTGGGAACCATCCCCTCGCACCCCGCTTGCTTTTCCTCCCCCCCCCTTTCCAAATTCTTTCCCCCAAGGGTGCTGACAGACATGCCAAGGGAGGGGGTGGTTGGTCATGGAGATTTGCCCAGAGTAAGTCCACAAACCCAGGGCAAACGGGGTGGACAGAGGAGCAGGAAAGAGAGTGTCTCCATGGCGGAGGCTGGTCCTTGCTCACCTGTCTTCTCGCTCTCTACCCTGTTGCTTGGGGAGATACTGAGGCTGGGGTCCCAGGAATTTTATTGCTACCTGAGTCCTTGAAGAAACTCATGCCCAGGCCATCCTTTGTCCACAAGGGGGAATAGGAGACCAGAGAGGTGAAAAGCAACCCCCCCCCCCCCCGGGTCACACAGCCAGCTGCTGAACTTGGGGCTAGCAAAAGAGGCAGAGGAAGCAATCGTTTCTTCAGTACCTAGTATGTGTCTGGGAGCACATTATGAATGAAACAGACAAAATTCCCTTCCTCATAGAACTGAAAAAGATACAAAGAAGATAAATAGTAAGATAGATACCTCCAGAAGGGCTCAAAGAAGAGTAAGAGGGGGTGAAGAGGTGGCAGGGGTGCTGTCTAGGTTGAGTAGGTAACATTTGAACCAAGAAAGATGAGACTGAGCCGGCCATGGGGAGATCAGATGAAGGGCATTCCATGCAGCTGGCACTGCACCTGCAAAGGCCCTGAGGTAGGAAAGGGCCTGTGGTGTTCAAGGAACTGTCAGGGGCCAGTGTGGCTGCAGTGAGAAGGAAAGGTGATGAATCAGAGGTAGATTCAGGTCAACAAACCCAAGGGGTAGGTAGAATCATCCTGTGTTACCAAGGAGGAAACTGAAGCCCAGAGAGGGGCAGTGACTTGCCCAGCCTCACAGAGCAGAGCCAGATTCCAGCCCCTTTCATCAGTTCCAAACCCATGTTCCTGTGCTTCTATGAGGGTCCAGGGTGGGAGCAGGTGTTGTGAGGGCCTTCCAGGTCCCCAGCCTGCAGCTCAGCTCTGAAGATGAGGGGCATCTGGGCCAGCTGCGGCTTCCTGTGGGAAGAAAGCAGAGACGGATTGAGCTGCTGAGTCACGGGGGAGCAACAGGCTCCCAGGCTGCCATGGATTCTGCCTTAGTTTACCTACCCGTCATCACACGTCCGCCTCTGGTGCTGACTTCAGAGGGGTGCTATAAAGGTTAATTACTGCCTGGCAGCTCCAGGAGCCCTGATGAAAGGTGGCAGGAAGTGGGCACTATTAACCCAGGAAGGTAATTACCCCCAGCCTGGGGGAGGGTGCGGAGGGGTCCCAGCCTGAGTCACTTCTGGTTCTGATTCAACTCCAGGCCAGCCTCTTTCCAGGTGGATATGGCCCAACATGCTTAAACATCTGACCACCGTCCTGGCCCCAAGCCCCACCAGCACCAGGCAGGGCTGAAGCTAGGAGTCATCACAAGCCACACAGGCCCGGGGTTCAAATCCCATCTCTGCCGCTGCTCTGGCCGGGGACCTGGACAACGCTCCTCACCTCTTGGGCCTGTTTCTTCATCCATACAGTGGGCGTCTTAGTCTGTTTGTGTTGCTATAACAATACCACAGCCTGGGTAATTCATAATTCTTCAAGGTGAGTCCTTGAAGAACAGAGCTGTACTTCTAACAGTCCTGGAGGCCGGAGAGCTGAAGATTGAGAGGCTTGCTCAAGAGAGGGCCTTCTTGCTGTCATTCCGTGGCGAAGGCATCTCATGGCAAGAGACAGCAAGGCATGGCTCAACTCACTTACATGACAAATCCACTCTGTCCATCATGAAGCCACTCCTGCATTACCAACACGAATCCATTCATCAGGGCAGAGTCCTCATGACCCAGTCACCTCTTAACGGCCCACGTGACCTTTGGGAGACATGTTGGGATGACGGCAGTTCGGGCTGAGACTCTGGCCCCTCCCCAGGGCGCTGTGGCTCTTTCTCACACATATGCCAGATACTGTGCCTTGTGGCCACCGCGTCCCCCTGCTGCCTCAGTTTGAGGCCAAAAGTGACATGTCAGGCCACAGCTACCCACACCATCAGCCATCTGTGACCTGAAGGGAAATGATGAAAGAGTTTTCTAGAAATAAATGATTTTTAAAAAGACTTTTCTAGAAATAAATGATTTATAAAACAACCCAGGAAATGATCCCTGGCTGCTACTAGGCCCCTGGGAGGGAGGGCAGGCCTCTTTCCCCCTGCCCCAATCCCCAGTTGGACCCCAGAACCAGGCTTCCTGACTGTCCCCTGTCCCTGGAGGCCCACCCCTTCCCTCGTCCCCTCTCTTGTGGCTCCTGGGTCTTGAGGCCACCCCGTCTCCCCCAGTCTATATGTGCACACACACAACACGTGCACATGCACATGTACACATATGTGCACACACACACGTGTCTGAGCTCTTGGTCCAGCTGTGAACGCACAGCCTGGTCCCTGGTGAGCCCCAGATGGTTACCTTCTTCCAGGGTTCAGGAGATGGATACTAAGGCCAGAGCTCCCTTCCTCCTTTTACTCCCTCCCTGAGGCAACGTGGTGCCCATCTCACAGGTGGGCATGCTGAGACTCTGAGATCCAAATGCACAAGCCTGGAGAGTGGCTGAGAGACAGGGAGGGGGAGTCCCAGGGGCAGCCTGTGCACAGGGCAGGGCCGAGGGAGCCTGGCCCTCCGTGGGGTTCCTGGGAATGAGGCTGTTTACCGTGAGCAGGCAGCTCCAGGGCCTTGGGCCCCCAGGTGGGAAGAAGCCAGGCCCTTGTCAGGTGGCTGCCTGCACAGGTACAAGTCTGGCACCAGGTGGCCACGTTCAGGAAGAGGCTGGCCTGAGGAGAGCTGCTCCAGGGCTGACCCCCGCCCCCCTCAAGCTCACCTCCTGCCCCTCTGCCCCTCACTCACTCCCTCTGCCCCAGCCACCCAGTCCCCAGTCCTTGCTGAGCCTTCATCGAGAGGATCCCCACAGCCTGGCCTTAGCACCTGCAGCTCCCTCTGCCCAGAGCACTGGTCCCAACCCCCTGCCTTTGCACGTGGGTTTCTCCTCTTTGTTGGGGCTTCTGTTCAAACGTCACCCCCTCAGAGGGGACCTCCCAGGCTCTCTCCATCCCATCTTCTGCTTTCTTTCCTTTGGAGCCCTGCTCACTGCCTGAAATGATCTCAAATGTCTGATTCTCCTTGGCCACAATACAGGCTCCATGAAACAGAGGGCTTTTAGATGTCTGTCTGTTTTGTTCACTGCTGTATCTCCAAGACCTGCAGCAGGCGCAGAACACAGTGGCGCTCAATAAATGTTTGCTGATGTACTGAAGAAGTTTTGAGAAGATGAGATGTAATTTGTATCACAGTGGGAGGGGTGGGTGCTTCAGGGGAGACGTCATTCACAGAACTGGGTGATTTCTCCAGGGTTTTGAAGCGTGTCATGAGCAGCGCGACGTCACAACGATAACAATAATATTTATTGGGCACTTCCTGCAGTGAGCACCGTACACAGATGATCTCAGAGGCCTCCCAGTGACCTGCCAGCTCAGGGCTGTGATCAGCCCCACTTTCCCTGAGGCAACGTGGTGCCCATCTCACAGGTGGGCATGCTGAGACTCTGAGATCCAAATGCACAAAGATCAAAAGGAAACTGTAACTCAGAGTTACACTTAGGGACTGCTCCAGGTCACTAGCAATTTGGTGGCAGGCCGTAGTTGAATACAAGGCCACTTTGACCCCCTCCCTCAACACCCTGGTCTGTCTCCATCCCTCCAGAGCCTGAAGATTCCCTGGAAATCGCACAGTCCCTGGATTCCTGGCACAGCCAAGAGAAGTCATGTGTGTCCCGCCCATCACCCCCTAGCTGGTCAGGGGCCCAGAGTGGATGATCCTGGGCTGCTGGTGGGCCCCTGGGAGGGAGGGCAGGCCTGGCAGCTGTCCTGTCCTGGGGACGCCAAGCAGCCGGGAGTTTCTCTCCCCGGACTTACTGTACATGATTCAGCGCCAGCCCCAGTTGTGAAATCTGGGAATCTTGTGGGCAAGGCTGGGCCTGGGGGATGGCCGTCTGGGAAGAGGAGGCTGGGAAGGGGTTAAGGGGGGTGGCGGGGGAGGAGGAGGCAGGCGCCAGGCCAGACCAGCAGAGAGCACACAGTTAGCACTGGGCTGGCTGCCTGTGGCTGGCCTCTGACATCACGGCTGCGTCAGCCCAGCCAGCCCCAGCCCCCCACTTCCTCCTCTCCCTGGGCAGCATCCTCCACTACCTCCCCAGCCTCACTGTTCTGTCCTGAAAACGAGCAGCGCCCAGCCTTCCCTCCTGGAAGGGGGCAGGGTGGTCAGGGAGAGGGAGAGGACAAACACCACTTTGCATCCAGGAGGGACTTAGTAAACCACAGCCGACAGCCGTGATGTGTTGGAGCCAAACCATAATCCTGGGAGAAAAGGCAGGTAGGAAGCTCTCACACTTATTTTAGAAAAGAAGAGACTGAGGGTCTGAGAAGGGAAGGGACTTGCCCAAGGTCACCCAGCTGCACAGTCATAATGACTTGTAAGGAAGCATCGTGTTGATCTCCTCCACTCTTCATTAGAAGGACATGTGTCTCTCGGTGCCTGGTTGGGCTGCAGTGAATGTCCCAAGGCCTGGAATTTTCTTCCTCATCTCGTTAATTTGTTAAGTCAGATTAAACCAAATGAGCATTTGTTGGACTAGAGGAACAACAAAGGAATTCACAGGAACTAGTCATCAATCAGTTATGATTTACGGTAGTGAATCTAATAAATTCTGCAATTGAAATGTTTTCCTTAAGAAATCACGGAATGAGGCCGGACACAGTGGCTCACGTCTATAATCCCAGCATTTTGGGAGGCCAAGGCAGATGGATCACTTGAGGTCAGGAGTCTGCAACCAGCCTGGCCAACATGGTGAAACCCTGTCTCTACTAAAAATATAAAAATTAGCCGGGCCTGGTAGTGCACACCTGTAATCCAAGCTACCTGAGAGGCTGAGGTGGGAGAATCACTTGAACCTGGGAGACAGAGGTTGCAGTGAGCCAAGATCATGCCACTGCGCTCCAGCCTGGGTGACAGAGTGAGACCCTGTCTCAAACAAACCAACGATATCACGGTATGCCTACTCTGCTCCAGGCTCATCTACATGCATCAGGCTCCATCCTCATGGCAACTCTTCGAAGGTGGGACAATTACCCCATCTCACAGAGGAGGAAACTGAGGCACGGAGAGGCAATTGATGCCTGAGGCCACAGAGCCAGTAAATGACAGTGGTGATAATAGTAATGCTAGCCGGCCTCGATAAGCCGCTTCCTCTGAGTACTGAGCATGGTATTCACAGGAGCGCACCAGCTTCTCTAGCTCCCCAGGAGGAGAGAGGGCACTCTTACTCTCCCCATGTCACAGGTGAGAAACCAAGGCCCAGCTGGGTTACAGTGCTTGCCCAGATCACACAGCTAGGAAGTGGCAAAGCTGGGATTTGAACCCAGGCCATCTGGCCTCTGTCCCTGGTCAAGCACAGTGCTAAAGCTGGACACACTGTAGGTGCTCAGGTCACTCAGAGGTGACTGAACTGGAGATGCCCAGGGCTTCAGAGGGCACTCCTCCCACAAGCTACCCCTCACATCGGCTCAGGGCTGCCCTGAGCTGGCATGGCACGGCTGGGCAAAAAAGTGCAGTTATATCTTCCCCAGGATGCTGTTACCCCCATGGCTGCCACAGCCTTGAGTGCACAGAACCACCGTGAAGACCTCCAGGATCCTCCCCATTTTACAGAGCAGAAAAGCCAAGGCCCAGAGAGGGTGTGTGACTTGCCCAAGGTCACAGAGCATGGTCATATGGGCTATAGCCAGCCCCACTCCCAGCTCCTGAGCCTGCCCTCAGTTTCGAAGGCCCTGGAAGATGAATTTCAGGAGGAAGAGGGGAGCTGAGACCTGGCCCTCCCTGACCCTCCCCAGGAATGGTCTTTCTTCTCTTCCTGGCTTTCTATCTTCTAGCTCGGTGGGACTGGGCCTCACATGAGCTGGCTCGCAAAGTGGGACAGGAAGGGCATTCCTGGCAGAGGAAACAGCACGGGCAAAGTGGATAGCATGTGGAGCAGGGAAGGAAGAATATCTAACTGGGCTGCGGTGGAGAGAGTGAGGGGCCGGGGTGGGGAGCGGGTAGAGTCAGGTAAGGAGGCCTTGAATGTCATGCTCAGGATTTTGGGCTTTGTCCAGAGGCGAGGGGAAGTCAGGAAGGCTTCAGAGCAGGGAAGGACCAGGATGGCTAAACAGAGGGTGGACTATCGCCGTCCCCTCCCCACTATCACCCTGCTTCTGTCCTGGCCCCTCCAGTCCATTCTCCCCCCACAGCCAGAGGGATCTATGAAAACTCAAGCCAGACCATGTCCCTCCTCTGCTCAGAACACTCCATGACTCCCATCCTGCAGAGAAAAGGCTGAAGGTCTCGACAGCCCACTTGACCCTGCAGGACTCATCCCCCACGGCCTCTCAGCCCTCACATCCTCCTGCTCTCTCCCTCTCTCCCTCTGTCCACACACAGGTCTCTTTGCTGCATCCAGCCCCCAGTCAGGGCCTGTGTGCACCGTTCCCACTGCCCGGAACACTCTCTCCTCCCCAAGGCTCCCTCCTCACCTCCTACAGAACATTGTCAGCTGTCACCTGCTCACCAAGGCTGTCCCTGTCCCGCCCATTGAAATCCCATCTCCTTTTCCTGCTTCACTTCTCTCCCTAGCACAGATCTTCTCAAATGCCATAAGCAACATATTTATCTTGTGCATTGCCCACTGTCTCTGCAAGTGTGAAGTCCACAGGGGCAGAGACCTTTGGCCGTCCTATGTCCTGCCATGTCCCCAGTGCCTGACCCACAGGAAGTGCCCAATAAATATTTGCTCAGTGAATAGATTCTTTTTTTTTGGCAGAATAACTTGGTGAGGACCTTCCCTCGGGGATGCAGATGGAGAAGTGACCTGCCCAGGGTCACCCAGCTCACAAGTGGCAAGCTCGTCTAGCCCCAAAGTCTGTGATTTTGGTCTCCATTCCAGGCTGCCCCTCTGGGGTTCAGGCCCCACATCAGCCACTGTACCACTGAATCGGCCCATAAGGCTGCAAGCTGGGGTCTGTCCTTGGTTCCATCTTAAGCTAGAGGCTCAGAGAGGTAAGGTGACTTGCCCAAGGTCACACAGCAACTTAGGGTGTGAGTTCGGCTCTTTCTGCCTCTGTATTTTGGATACTTTCTGTTAAAGCAGCTCTGCCTCCCCCTCCTCCTTTCCTCTTTCCAAACAATGTGTCTGCGGCTGGAACATCAGGCCTGTTGTGCGTGGCCTTGACATACACCATGTCCCGGGCCTGGCCCCGCCCACCACCCTGGCTGGGCCACGAGCACAGCGCCTGGTTCCACATGCCTCAGGGATGAACCGCAGAGAGTGTGACCAGGCCCAGCTGACACATCTCGAAGCAGATGTGGGTCTGCCTCCCACAGGCCCATCCGGCCCCCCCACCCCACCCCCCCACCACCAACACCAGCCAAATCTCAGCCCATCTTTATCTTCCAGGGGTGGTGCTGGGCCTTGTGGGGCAGAGGGAAAGGTGAACCATGACCCTGAGGAGCTCAGAGACTGGCAGGAAGAGCAGATCCAGGGCTAGAACCAGGGCCAAAGTCTTGGTGGTTATAGAGGAAAAAGAAACTGGCTCTGAGATTGAAAACTCAGTGTCACCAGGGACCAGGCAGGAATTTAAAATGAGTACAGTGGGCTGGGGTAAGATGATAAATAGCCACGACTCCTTGGCTTCAGTGTCAGAGAGACAAGAGGGAGTGGTGGGGACTGGGGCACATGCCTTGTCTGAAGACAGTCACCTCTCAGCTCCAGCTGGTGGTGGTCCCTAGAGAACGGGGCTCAATATGATCAGATGCTCTGTGCCCTGATTTTCCAGAGGGGGTCAAAACACAGGTTTTTATGTCATAGCCACAGGTTCTTAAATATTGGCTTCATTCTTTTAAAAATTCTGTGTGGATGGAAGAAAGTCACACAGGCTTGGGAGCCAGATTGCATCCCTGAGGCCTCCAGTTTACAGCCTCTGTTGGCTGCAGCCTAATGGAGCAGGGACGGTGGCCAGGACCCAGCTCCAGCAGCTCCAAGGGATGTGGAGAAGGTTCCTGTCATCTGGTCCCCTCCTCCACTCCACAGGGATGATTCTTCCGCCCACCAGCTCTAGCAGCCTGGGGGTTGAAAGGGAGCCTGGGCGGGACTGAGGTCTCCTTTCTCACATGGGACACAGCTGTGGATGTGTTTTTCAGGCGGACCCTAATTTCTCCCCATCGCCCGTGGCTCTGCCACACCAGGAAATGGGTGACACTTTGTGCCCCAGGTTGTCTCCCAGTAGCCCTGCTCCATGCTCCAAGCTACCTGCTTCCATCAGCACCATGTCCCTTATGACCAATTTTCAGATGAGGAAGCAGGCTCATGGAGGGAGTGTCTGACCAGGTCCCTGCCATGAACACACAGGCGCTGGGCTTCAACCCAGCCTCACACACTTGACCACTGGGCCCTCGTCCCATCCCTTCCTGGTAGAACCCAGCCCACCCTCCAAGGCTTGTCTCCAGAGCTTCCTCCTGGCTTTTTAACAAGCAGCCGGGCCCCTGGCCAACTGCCAGGCACTCAGACATGAACCGATCGAGTGTGTCTCAGGCTCTCCTGTGCTATTTGTCGAATGACTATTTCGCTCATTTTCCCCAAAGTCATAGCTTGTCCACATCCAATCTGTTGTCTCAGTTTCTGACCACATGTCTGTATGCTTCCCAGATGCCTCCTCCTGGATGTCCCCCAGGCATCCTCCAAATCAGTGTGCCCAAAGCAAGTTCAGCAACTTCCCCCAAACTGTTCCTCTCTGCCTATCTCCCCTCTTATGGAAGGCTGCACAACTGTTCAGTGTCCAAAGCCAGAAACATGAGCATCATCTATAATGCCTCCCACCGCCACACGTCCAACCCAATTGGTCACTAAAGCCTGGGAGTCTCGTCCTCAGTCTCCCTGACATCCCTGCACCCTCCCTTCCTCTGAGGCTACCATGCCAGGTCAATCTCATCACCTCCCACCCAGGTGGCTGCAGTTCCTCGCCACCTCCCTGCAATGATACTTCCTCTTCCCCAAATCCAGCCTCCTGTAGGGGCCTGAAAGACACCTACTGCATCATGCTGTTTACTGTCAGAAGCAGAGCGATCTGAGCTCACTGCAACCTCCACCTTCTGGGTTCAAGAGATTCTCCTGCCTCAGCCTCTCAAGTAGCTGGGATTATAGGCACACACCACCACAGCCCAGGTAATTTTTGTACTTTTAGTAGAGATGGGCTTTTGCCATGTTGGCCAGGCTGGTCTCAAACTCGCAACCTCAGGTGATCCAACTGTCTCTGCCTCCCAAAGTACTGGGATTACAAATGTGAGCCACCGCACCCGGCCGTGTACAGGCTGTTCCTTCTGCCTAGCATGTTCTTCCCAGTCAACTCTTTGTCTAACTACTCCATATATGCCCTTCAGGACTCAGTTTACATGTCACAGGCTTCATAAACCTTCCCTGACCCCCTCAGTCTGGTTTAGGAACCTGCTGAGGTCCTACAGCACTTCCCACCTCCCACCACGTGTGAGTCAAACTACAGTCATTCTGGGAACCAGAAACCCTTCCAGATTTGGGGTTTGTTTTGGATGTCAGAGACAGCATTCCTTGCAGGCATTTTAGGCAGAAAGGATTGAACACAGGGAACTGAGCATTCACAACATTGCTAAAAGGCTGGAGAGGCACCAGCACCACACAGCAGAACTAGGCCTTCAGGGAGCTGTCAGCCACTCAGGATGGTGGGGAATCAGGAGGCCACAGGGGAGTCAGAGACTTTGAGAACACATCACAGCACCAGTGATCTGGAGATGAGGAAGCCACCACCACCACCCCTACCTCTAGACTCTCCAAGAGTGATAACCAGACGCCAGTGTTGCTGCAAGAAGATCCAGCCCATGACCACTCTCACCAGCAGAAAGAGAGCCCGGGCAGAAACAAGGCGGCCCCCACTTCCTGACTCACAGGAAGGCATCTGCCTGGCAGGACCCGCTGGGCGTACAGAGACCCTGCTGCAAAGGAGGCTAGGAAATGTGGCATGTAGCCTTCCAGTCTCTGCAGACTTTAGCTAGAAAGAGATATTAATAGGAACGAATGCTGAGGATCAGACAACCCTGAATATGAGGTCTTGGGATCCCCCATCTCAGCCCCAACACCCTGTGTGAATGGAATCCTCTGCTTACTTGTCTGTGTTCCCTGATGGACTGGGGACACTTTAAAAGGCTGAGATGATGCCTTGGATACCTCAGGCTCGGCAGCATCTTGCATAGGCCCAATGCAAGACAGTAGTCATGTAAGAAGAAGAAACCCTGTCTCTACTAACAATACAAAAGTTAGCTGGGCTGTGGTGGCACGCACTGTAATCCCAGCTACTCAAGAGGCTGAGGCAGAAGAATCTCTTCTTTATTTGTTGAGCATTTGCTATGCACTGAGCACTGGGCTACACGTTTTACACACCTGTTTACAAATTCACAATGCAGTAGGGTAGGGATTATTGCTGTCCCTATTTTATACATAAAGAAGAGAAGGCCCATAGGGGTGAAGTAAATTTCCCAAGGTCACCCAGCCAGTACATATTAGAGATGAGATTAAAAATGCAATCCAGGGCCGGGCGCGGTGGCTCACACCTGTAATCCCAGCACTTTGGGAGGCCGAGGCAGGTGGATCACGAGGTCAAGAGATCGAGACCATACTGGTCAACATGGTGAAACCCCGTCTCTACTAAAAATACAAAAAAAAATTAGCTGGGCGTGGTGGCACGTGCCTGTAATCCCAGCTACTCAGGAGGCTGAGGCAGGAGAATTGCCTGAACCCAGGAGGCGGAGGTTGCGGTGAGCCGAGATCACGCCATTGCACTCCAGCCTGGATAACAAGAGTGAAACTCCGTCTCAAAAAAAAAAAAAAAAATGCAATCTAACTTCTAGCTCCAAACACTTGTCACTTATGAGAGGCACCTTTATCTTCCCCCAGGTATTTTCTCCCAAGCACCCGGAAAAGTCACAGCAATGTTGTGCAATGAATGACTGAATACACAGTGTCTTCTCCTTTGAGAAACTACCTGGCTCCATCTCGGCTGCCTTCGCTCCACTGGACTTGGGTTCCTCTCCAAGATCAGCGCTCAGAGAGTAAAACTCAATGCGTAACACTACACTGGGACTCCGCACCTAGGGTCTGTAGGTGGCGTTTAGGCTCTGTGACCACCACTCCCATGAAGTTCCTAACATTTTGTGTTTATATGCAATTTTCTGGAGATACAACTCAAAGCTTTCACTAAACTTTCAAACTTCAAAAACTTGATACTGCTGCATCAGGGAGGAACACAGGAATTTCCCTGCCTTCTGACCTCAGTTCAGATCTTGTGACATAGCCTGCATTCACCTGTATACCCATCCAACTCACCTATCCATCCATTAATTCTCTCGTCCACCCATCCATGCACTGGTACATCCATTTTCCTATCCACTCATCCACCCATTCGCCTACTCATCCACCAATTGATCTAACCACCCACCCATCCATCCATCCATCCACCTACCCATCCATCTATTCTCTTATCCACCCTCCCACCCCCAATTCAGTCATTTATCTACACACCCATTCTCCTGTTCACCCACCCACCCACCCATCTATTCTCTTATCCACCCTCTCACCCACCAATTCACTCGTTTATCTACACACCCATTCTCCTATCCATCCATCCTCCATCCATCCACCTACCCATCCATCTATTCTCTTATCCAGCCTCCCACCCCCAATCCATTCACTTATCTACCCATCAATTCTCCTATGTATCCATCCATCCATCCACCCATTCTCTTATCCACCCTCCTACCCACCAATCCATTCATTTATCTACCCATTTATCTATCCATTCTCCTATCCATTCATCCATCTACCCATCTATCTAGTCTATTATTCAACCTCTTACCCATCAATATGTTCATTTATCTACCCATCCATTCTCCTATCCACCCGCCCTCCCATCCTTTCATCCATCCATTTACCCATTCATCTGTCCACCCACTCATCCATCCACCCACTCGTTCATCTATCCATCCAGCCATTTGCCCATCTATATACCCATCCATTATTCATGGAATCACCAGTCCATCTACCGATTTATCCCTTTATCTCTTTATTCATCTAGCCATCTATTAAGTCATCCATCATTTTATTTATTAATGAACTCATTTAATTATATATTTATTCATTCCTCCATCAGTAATTCACAGTATTTTACCATGAAATCATCCACATCCATTTGACTATCCACCCACCTGTCAGGTATCACTCATCCTTGCACCCATCAAATGCTCCATCCACCCATTCTGTTCTCTATACCAGAACCAATAAGTGAATCACAGCTGGCTCTGCCCTTCGAGAAGCTCACAATCCAGTGATGGAAACAGACAGCTACAACACAAGGTGGAAAATATTCAGAGGTCAAAGTGAGCTCCGGGCAGGTGCCTTCAGAGGAGGGGACTCAGGTCCTTCTGGAGACTTAGAGAAGGCTCCTTGGAGGAGGCAGCATCCAACCAGGACTCATAAAGTCAGGAAAATGGTGAACAAACTCCCTTAGATATCCCAGAGGGGAACTCACAGAACCTAACCACCTGGATGCTCATTGAGCTCTTTGGAGCATCAGAGACAGAACACCTGTGACAAATGTTAACCAGTAATCCCCAAACCCAATGGATTATGGAACACTTTCTCCCTTGTCACTCCTATTAATATCCCAGAGATTCTGTGTCCCCCTGATTCCCTTTTGGGAAATGCTAGTCTGCTCCAAACTTCTTCTTTCCACAAACAAGAAAACATGCACACAAAATTCCACAAAACATCTCTGACCTCAAAAATTTTGTTCATCTGTAGATAAGATGCAATGTACAATATATGGGGTTTTTTACCTGCAGAGCTGAGCACAGTGCGTAGCACACAGTAGGTGCTCAATAAGTGTTTATCCAAAGAATGTGGCCCTCGTTGAAGGAGTCACTCCAAAATGGTCCTTGGCTTTCAAGCTCTTTCTACTCCCCACTAATCCCTGTGTGACCTCAGCCAATGCTGTGACTCCCAGCTTCAGTTTTTCTGTCTGGAAAATGGGCAATAAGATCACCTCAGCAAAGATTGATGCAGGAAGTGCATGCTTAGACTCCACTTGGGTTGCAGGCTTTGTCTCAGGATGTAGCTCACTGCCACTTTCTCACCCTTTCTAGCCAGCGATGAAGACCTAGAGGCATCTGGGCCACACCGAACCTTTGAGGTAGAGGCTGGTATCTGGAAGCCACCTGAGTAATCCCACTGTGTTCCTGCCCAACCTGACGGGGCATGAACTGGAAATTCCCTATAATACTTGCTCATTAAATGGTTCCTCCCTCCTCCTGCTTTTCCTTGGCCTCCCACTCTCCCTTACCCAGCTCCCAAAGCGCCTGCGGAAATCTCTGCAAAGGAGTCTGACTGGTTTGGGGAGGGCTGGGCGGCCACTTCTCCTTCCTGCCACCCACCTGCCCACCCGCTGCCGGAGCCCAGGCCTCCGCCTGCCAGGAGGTGTGGGCTGTGCAGTTCTGGAACACAGAGCCGAATGCCCACGCAAGATAAAGGGACCACTAGTGCCGCCTCAGCCCAGGCCCAGCCTTGTGCAATCCAGATCTCTGCTGCACAGAGACAGCCACAGGGATGAGCGGATATGCTTATCTGATGGGGCCACGAGGCCTCCAGATGACTCCCGGGGCTGCATTCTCTCAATTAGGCGTTGGACTCCTCACTGCCAGGCAAATGCGCCTGCTTTTTGGGCACATCCTCATGCTCCTTCCAGTCAGTCAACACTTATTAGGCACTTCCTGTGTGCCCAGCCCTGTGCTGAGTGCTGGGCACACAGAGGTAAATATGACAAAGTCCCCGCCCCATGGAGCTCACAGTCCGAGGGGGACAGGGCAGATACATAAAAAAAGAGAATGGTCTCGGGAACGTGGGTGACTCTCAAAATCGTGATGTCGAGGAAAAGACGCCCAATAAATAATACACTGCCTGATTCCACTTATAGAAAATTCTAGAGAACACAAACTCGTCCACGGCCACAGAAAGCAGATCAGCCACAGTTGGCAGAGTTGGCAGGCGATGGGAGTGTGGCTAGGGATCCAAGAGGGATGAAGGCCAACAGGACACAAGAACACTTTTGGGGACAATGAATACAACTGGCACCTTGATTGTGCTGGTGGTTGGGGAGTGCGTGCGTATGTCCAAACTCATCCACACGGACACTGGAGTATGGGCGGTTTATCATGTGTTTGTTACACCCCAGTAAAGTTGTTGAGGACAAAAGAGAAATGATTAAGGGCAGTGTGAGCAGTGCAGCAATGGGGAAACTCAGGAAGGTCCTGGAGGTGGATGGAGAGGGTGGTCAGGGAAGGCTTCCTGGAGAAGGTAACTGCTGAGCAAAGTTTTGAAAATGAAAACGACTCACATGAGGAATGAAGAAAAGAGAATGGTGGTAGATTCCAGATAGTCCGAGCTCAAATTCTGACTCCTGTGGATTCACAAAAAGCCATGTGTCTTTAACTTCATCTCTCTGAGACTCAGTTTCCTCATCTGTGAAATGGATCTCCTATTTACATGATCGGACTGGTGGGAGATTGAAATTATGGAAAGCCCTTGCTGCGTATCCAATGCTCACAGCATCCGCAAATGCCCTGAGGCAGGAGAGGAACAACAGAGGAAGTCTGTGGCTGCAGCAGGGAGAGGAAGGGGAGAATCGGGGTGGGAGGGAAGGCCCCGGGGACCAGGGTGAGGCTGGAGCTATCTCCCAGCACTGGATAGCCAAGACAGGGCTGGGTAAATGCAGGGGAGTTTTATCAACAAAGCTGTCCTTTTAACAAGGTCACTCTGATTATTACAAAAAACAATTTTACAGTCGGGAAAACTGAGGCTTGAGCAAAGGATTGTTCCGAGGTCCGGTGGAATCACAGAGCTAGAAGGGAAGTGGTCTCCCATCCGCCCAAGCCTCTGTAATTTTCTAAGCAGATGAAGGGCTGTTATCCAGGTTTATCTGCACATCTGGTGATGGAAATTCACAATGTTAACAGTTCTTCCGATAGTATCCAATTACGAGAGGCTTCTTAAACCGGACCCAGCTCTTCCTCCTGCCCTGCTCAGACAGCAGCTGCTACCCTGCCAGAGTCACGGTGGGAGGAGCCAGCTGTGGGTGGGGAGGAAGTGGGAAGAGGTGTGAGTTGTGACGGAGGCTTTCTGGATGCTGCCCCCAGCCCTCTGCCACAATACCCTGGGACTTGCTCATTCCTTCACTGGGCCTCAGTTTCCCCATCTGTAAACGGGGAGATGCTCGTGGCTCCACCATCTCCTTCCAGCTCTCGGAAGCAGACTTGGCCCTACTGACGGGCCTGGCAGGGGTGGAGCAGGCATGGGGTTCACCAGTATCACCCATCCACCCCCATCTTGGGAGCCAGGGCCAACCTCGGGGCAGGAGGCCCAGGCCCTGTCTGGGGATAAAGGCCGGTGCCCCAGGGCACAGCCAGCTTAATAACAGGTTCCAGATCCAAGAGGGGTTTGAACCCAGGAGAATAGGTTCAAACACAATTGAGCAGCCCACGTTCCTGTCTGTAGCTCTGAAAGCCAATCGTTCCCACACCCAGAGGGCCCGGTCCCCACTCTCATCAAACCCATTCACCCCGGCGGAGCCCCTATCCATGTGCCTACCGCGTGACAAGCTTCCCAGAAAATGAAGGCTCCTGATTCTGGCCATGAGCTCTGGACCTGCCCTGGTCCCCAGTCCCCTCCTCACTCACCCCTTCACAGGCCAAGCTGAGCCCGGCCTTGAGGGCTTCCCACTTGCCATTCCTCCTGCCTAGAATTCTCTTCCTGCAGATCTGGCCATGACAACTCATCCTCCAGGGCTCCAGCCCAGGCTCCCCTTCCAGTGAGGCCTCTGACCCCATCCTATCGCTCTCTGTCAGCCCCCTGCCTTATTTTTCTCCATCAAAGTCTTCACTGGGATGTCCTGGTCCTCTGCCTGGTGTTTGTCTCTCCCTGGATTTGGAGCTCTTAGGCAGCAGAGTCTAAGGCTGCCCAGGGGCTGGCTCTGACATCACCAGGCCCAGGCCAGACCCAGCCTGGCACCCACCTCACAGTGTAGGTTAAAGAACAAATGAGGCCAGGCATGGTGGCTCATGCCTGTAATCCTAGCACTTTGGGAGGCTGAGGCATGCAGATCACCTGAGGTCGGAAGTTCAAGACCAGCCTGACCAACATGGAGAAACCCATCTCTATTAAAAATACAAAATTAGCCTTGCATGGTGGTGCGCGCCTGTAATCCCAGCTACTCGGGAGGCTGAGGCAGGAGAATTGCTTGAACCTGGGAGGTGGAGGTTTCGGTGAGCCTAGATAGCGCCATTGACCCCCAGCCTGGGCAAAAAGAGTGAAACTCCATCTCAAAAAAAAAAAAAAAAAGAAAAACAAATGAAATGGGCATAGGAGATTTTGCAGCCACCAGGGGACCCCCCAGTGCTTGATTTACACAGACCGTCTCATCTCCACATACAGGCCAAGGGGACGCATAGACCTGGACACAGATTCACCACACACGCCCCCAGAAAACACTGACACACACATGAGTGCACACACACACGCGCCCCTTCGTGCCCACCTGCTCTGGCCTCCGCACCAGTGCTGGGCACCCAGACCTCTCAACTTTCCCTCCTTTCACTGGGTGCCAGCTGGCCCTTCACCAGCTCCTCTCCCCCACCTGCCTGCCCTGGGCACCAGACTCATAAAGGACGAGGAAGGGCCTGGAGTGGGCTGGCTGGGCGCCATGCGAACGTGGCCCCTGGGGCCTTTGCCGCCCCCCGCTGCCAGACACCTGTGTAACGAGTGTCATTACTGGGGACCTGCCGGGCAGGCTCCAGCGTGCCCCAGCCACCCAGGCTGTACGTGATGCTGGGGACAGGGGTCAGGGAGCGTGAGGGGTCAGGGGTGCTGGGGGCGTCTCTGCCCTTCCTGACCCCAAAGCTCAGCTGTGGGTTTCTGGATCAGCAAAGATGACTTCCCGCCTTCCACACAGATTCCAAACCTCAGGCCCTTAATGGGCTGAGGTTCAAGATGGACTCAGGAGACAAGGGAGGAGAAACACATATTAAGCTCCTACTGCATGCCCACTTGGTGCTAAGAGCTAGCCACTTTTACTTCCCACTAACAGACACTGTCTCATCCAGTCACCCCTCTTCTGTTTGTGAGCAGCAACTGAGCACCTACTATGTACCAGGCTGTGTGCTAGACACATTTATATATATATATAAACTCATTTGTCCTTTCAGCAATCTTATGAAGTGGCATTTTACAGGTAAGGCTCAGAGACGTAAAGCTTCTCACCGAAAGCCACACAGCAAATAAGTAGTGGGTCAGGAGTTAACCCAGGCCCCCTGGCTCCATTGTCTGTGTTCTTAACACTCACTGCTTTACACTACCTCTTCCATCAATTCTACAAGGGCAGGGGTTTTTGTCATTGCTGTGTCCCCAGCACCCAGTCCAGGGCCTGGCATATAGAAGGAGCTAAAAAAAAAAAACGGAAGGAATAAATGAGTGGGTGAATGAGCGAATGATCTCACTGCGTTCTGATAACATCTTTCCAGGTGGTATTTATGGATGAGGATACGGAGGCTCAGAGAGGTACAGTGACTTGCCCAGGTCACACAGTGAGTGTGTCACAGCACTGAGATTGGAACTAGGATGGGAGTTCTGCTCCTCCCCCTCCTTCCCCTGCAGACTGCCCCCACCCTGGACTGTGGGCCACATGAGGCGGACATGTGCCTCTCTCCCTCTCCAGGCAGTCCTGGGATCCAGGCTGGGGTCTGCACATGGTGGAAGGAAATTCCAGCTCTTCCCCTTGGCCCCAAGGCCTTCTGAAAGGGAGACCCTGACAATACTACCCCTCACCCCGCCACTCTCCTGACTCCCATGCAGGGATGAATTCCCCAGGCACACCTGCACCTCACCACCGCCCCAGGGCCTCCCCATGTGCTGCTGCCCCTACTAGAATGCTCTCCCAGTCCTGCCCCACCTCAACTTGGAGGGCACCTCCTCTGCCAGGAAGCCATCGGGCAGCCCCACAGCCCACAGCTCCTGGTGCTGCAGGGTGAACGCGGAGCCCTCTCCTCCGCAGCCCGACTACTGGCTTCTGGCTTCTCCAGGGGAGGTGTCCTGGATTGGGGAGCTGAACTCCCTCAATTCTAATGGCTGTTCAGCTGCTGACCTTCTGAGGGAAGCTGACCCGGGCCTCAGTGAGCTCATCTGTGAGATGGTCCAGTCTCACTGTCTCTCACATCAGCTCCTGCCCAGGTCCCAGCTGCACCTGTTCACTCAGCCCATGACGTCCTGCTGGCCCTCTAGCACCAACTCCTGCTGCTGTCCCCTCCTCACTCCTCTTAAGCTTCCTTGCCTTTCCTGTAACCTCCCAAACCTGTTCCCACCACAGGGCCTTTGCACATGCAGTGCTGAGTTTCCTTCTGCTGGAAATCTCTTCCCCAGGTCCAGTTCTTCTCCTTCAGGCCTCTGCTCCACATCACTGCCTCAGAAAAGCCCTCTCTTAACCCACCCAGCTCCCAAACACCCTGCTGACTCCCATCACGGCTCTTCTCCCTGGTGAAATCCTCTCGTCTCTTCGAGCATTTGCTCACCGATGTTCATCTCCTCCACCACAGTGAGGGCAGAGACCTTGTTCACTGCTGTGTCCTGGAGTCTGGCATACAGTAGGTGCTCAAGCAATGGTGGTGGAATGAAGGGAAGAGCATCAAAGTGCTGCCCCGCCCCTGCCCACCCCCAGCCCCCAGCCCAAAATCAGGGACTGGGAACCAGGAGGCCTCACTTCTGCCAACAGCAGGCGCCCCCTCTGAGCCCCAGAGCCTGTCTGGTTCCCAGCCCCATAAAAACCACCGCCCTCACCTTGCCCTGGGGCAGCAAAGGGTAAAGGAGGCAGATGTGGGGCCCAGAGGCTGACCCGACATGGATTCAGAGGCCTGGGCCAATGAAAGTCAGGGCTCATGGAGTGCCTTCTGCATGTCCGGGTGCAGTTGAAACACCCCACATTCACAGCCCTCACAGCCCCTCGTCAAGGTCAGGATCACCACAATCACCCTGTACAGGTGAGGAAACTGAGGCACAGTAGGGTGCAGCCACGTGGCCCAGGCTGTGCAGCCTGAGAAAGGCGAAGTCACCATTAGAACCCAGTTCCCCCAACACCACAGCCAGCATTGGTCT